TTGTAGGACACTCTTGTGGGACACTCTTACGGGACACTCTTGTGGGACACTCTTGTGGGACACTCTTGTGGGACACTCTTGTGGGACACTCTTGTAGGAAACTCTTGTGGGAGACTCTTGTGGGACACTCTTGTGGGACACTCTTGTCGGACACTCTAGTAGGAAACTCTTGTGGGAGACTCTTGTGGGACACTCCTGTGGGAGACTCCTGTAGGACACTCTTGTGGGACACTGTTGCGGGACACTCTTGTGGGACACTCCTGTGGGACACTCATTTGGGACACTCTTGTGGGACACTCTTGTGGGACAGTCTTGTAGGACACTCTTGTGGGACACTCTTGTGGGATACTCTTGTGGGACACTCTTGTAGGACACTCTTGTGGGACACTCCTGTATGACACTCTTGTGGGACACTCTTGTGGCACACTCTTGTGGGACACTCTTGTAGGAAACTCTTGTGGGACACTCTTGTAGGACACTCCTGTATGACACTCTTATAGGACACTCTTGTGGGACACTCTTAAAGGACACTCTTGTGAAACACTCTTGTGGGACACTGTTGCGGGACACTCTTGTGGGACACTCTTGTGCGACACTCTTGTGGGACACTCTTGTGGGACACTCTAGAAGGAAACTCTTGTGGGAGACTCTTGTCGGACACTCTTGTAGGACACTCTTGTGGGACACTCTTGTAGGGCACACTCCTCGTACGAGACTTCCTCCAAAAGTCATGCTGCGAGGCTGCAAGACGAGCGTTTCGTATGAGACTTCCTCCAAAAGTCACGCGCCAAGTCTCAGCATTTCGTATGAGACTTCCTCCAAAAGTCACAGGTCAAGTCTCCAAAACGAGCGTTTCGTACGAGACTTCCTCAAAAACTCACACGTCAAGTCTCCAAAACGAGCGTTTCGTACGAGACTTCCTCAAAAAGTCACACGTCAAGTCTCCAAAACGAGCGTTTCGTACGAGACTTCCTCAACAACTCACACGTCAAAGTCTGCAAAACGAGCGTTTCGTACGAGACTTCCTCCAAAAGTCAAGCGGAACCCCCCATCGGAGCACACACATCACGCAGGCCTGCCAAGCAGTTTCGCGATTCCAGCCCCTCCAAACAACATCCGCTCACACGCCAATCCCAATGTGACAGCGACATTCACCTCTACCACAACTCACAACCTCACAATTCCCTGCACCTGCCACGAATCTTGCCGCGTCCACACGTTTAACGCGCACAAAGTACTGCGCCTACCACGAAATGTCACCTCCGTCACACCTCGCAACCTGCGACACTCTTGTGGGACACTCTTGTGGGACACTCTAGTAGGAAACTCTTGTGGGAGACTCTTGTGGGACACTCTTGTGGGACACTCTTGTCGGACTTTAGTAGGAAACTCTTGTGGGAGACTCTTGTAGGACACTCTTGTGGGAGACTTGTGTAGGACAGTCTTGTGGGACACTGTTGCGGGACACTCTTGTGGGACACTCCTGTGGGACACTCATTTGGGACACTCTTGTGGGACACTCTTGTGGGACAGTCTTGTAGGACACTCTTGTGGGACACTCTTGTGGGATACTCTTGTGGGACACTCTTGTAGGACACTCTTGTGGGACACTCCTGTATGACACTCTTACAGGACACTCTTGTGGGACACTCTTAAAGGACACTCTTGTGAAACACTCTTGTGGGACACTGTTGCGGGACACTCCTGTGGGACACTCTTGTGGGACACTTTTGTGGGACACTCTTGTGGGACACTCTTGTGGGACACTCTAGAAGGAAACTCTTGTGGGATACTCTTGTAGGAGACTCTTGTCGGACACTCTTGTAGGACACTCTTGTGGGACACTCTTGTAGGGCACACTCCTCCTACGAGACTTCCTCCAAAAGTCACGCTGCGAGGCTGCAAGACGAGCGTTTCGTATGAGACTTCCTCCAAAAGTCACGCGCCAAGTCTCAAAAACGAGCATTTCGTATGAGACTTCCTCCAAAAGTCACACGTCAAGTCTCCAAAACGAGCGTTTCGTACGAGACTTCCTCAAAAACTCACACGTCAAGTCTCCAAAACGAGCGTTTCGTACAAGACTTCCTCAAAAAGTCACACGTCAAGTCTCCAAAACTACTGGAGCTGCTGCCTCAGCAAAGCCTTCGAAGGCACCTCCAGCTAAGAAGCGACCAATTGCTCCACCGCCACCGTGGAGGCAGCCGCAGCCACCAATTGACCGGTCTCCCTATGGTCCACAGCAGCCCCTCTTCCAGTAGCAGTGTGGCACCTCCTCTTCCTGGAGCAAGTGCAAGTATCAGTGAGCGTTTCGTACGAGACTTCCTCAAAAACTCACACGTCAAAGTCTGCAAAACGAGCGTTTCGTACGAGACTTCCTCCAAAAGTCAAGCGGAACCCCCCATCGGAGCACACACATCACGCAGGCCTGCCAAGCAGTTTCGCGATTCCAGCCCCTCCAAACAACATCCGCTCACACGCCAATCCCAATGTGACAGCGACATTCACCTCTACCACAACTCACAACCTCACAATTCCCTGCGCCTGCCACGAATCTTGCCGCGTCCACACGTTTAACGCGCACAAAGTACTGCGCCTGCCACGAAATGTCACCTCCGTCACACCTCGCAACCTCACGATTCCCTGCGCCTGCCACGAGAATCGCACTTCCACTCCTCAAAACCCGCACAAAGTCCTGCGCCTGCCACGAAAAGTGACAATATCATCTCATGTGAGCTTCAACAAAATTTGCACCACACCACACGTTTGGAATGATTTCGACCCGTTCTGAGCACACTCACATCCACCAAAATCGCCATTTCAGTTGAGACTTGTCACGAAAACCCCACACCCTGAAACGCAAATCCCAATGGCACGGCCACATCCAACACCCCAAAAACACGACTCTCCAAACGCTAATCCCAATGGAACTGCGCAGCAATCTGCGGATCTCACAAAACGCTGCGCCTGTGCAGCGAAATGCATCACGTTTCTTGCGCGACATGTCATGGTCATGCAAATCACAATGGAATAGCGGCGCAAACTGACACGTGACACATCCATGCAAAGTCACCTTCAAACGCTTCCCCCAATGGCAGTGAATTTGAGACGCGACGACGACGAGAGACGACGAGAGACGACGACAGACGACGAGAGGACGCAAGCCACGCGAACACAGCTCCAACCCCCAGACCCCCAACTATAAACGGGAACCCTTCGCTACGCATTCGGGAATAAAGAAAACAATACACACAGATAGTTTAATTAGATTAGTTAGACTAATTCGATTAATTAGATATATTAGATAGATAGATAGATAGATAGATAGATAGATAGATATATAGATAGATAGATAGTTTTCAGTTTTCAGTTTCGAACGCTCTCATGTCGTCATGAGACTGCGGGGCGCGAGACTTGTGTCTCGGCTGATCGAAGAGATCAGGCAAGCACCGAGGTGCACTAGGCCATCTGGCCAAACTCATCCAAAAAAGAAGACCTGCCATTTGCAAAAGCCACTTTGGCGCAAAGGGAAGAAAACTTATCCGGCAGGCGTCGCAGTGAGCGGTGCTGCACACCCATCAAAACTGCCAAGCGTTCAGGATTTTTTCGACTAAACACTTGTGTTTACATGTCAGCCAAAACAGGGAGCTACTGCATCAACTGGGTTCAACATCCAAAGGGAGAACACCAGGGCTGTGGCATCCAAGACAACACACGATCAGGCCAGCTGACTTAGGAGCTCTATCACCTTAGGTGAGGGCTCACATTTCAATCCTTTTTGATTGCCAGTCAACTTGCCAAC